GATCAAATAATATCGCAGGAGTCTAATATAAGTATGTCAATATGCATATGCAGGCTTCGCTGCTGGCGTCCGCCGCACTAACTACGGAGGTCGCCGTACTGAAGCAGGACCTCGAGGGGTCCAGGAAGGAGCTCAGCCTTGCCAAGAGGCAACTCGAGGAGAACAAGGGTAAGTAATACCCTGTCTTGTGTATATATAAAAGAGGACGCGATTGCAAAATGATAGGATCATCGTATGTTTGCCAGGGGCCACGACCGAGGTGGCGACCTTGAAGCAAGCGCTGACCAAGGCCGAAGATACAGCGGCCAAGGAGAGCACCGAGCGAGAGAAGCACGAGGCTCGGGTGGGCGAGGTGCAGCAAGAGCTCCAGGCTCTTGTGGTGAAGCACGAGGCATTGGAGCTTGACTCCAAGACGTGGGAGTCTGAGCTTGCCACGGCCCTCGAGAGTGTAAAAAGTGTCAAGGCCAAATCCCAAAAGGCCCTCCAAGAGATCAACGCGAGGAAGAAGATAGCGGCGGGTAAGGCTTTCTATATGCAAAGCAAGCATGTAAAAGTAAATTACCGATTACTTACCCAGATCCGGAGCTCTTCAGGAGCATTCGCAGATTTGCCCCGCAGTGTGTCCGATGCCGCACAATTTTACCAGGCCGAGGATGGAAGCTTGACGGAGATGCTGTCCTGGTCTCAGTATACTGGGACCGAACAGCCGATGCCTATGAGCGACCAGCTGAAGCAACTGGTCGAGCTGCACAAGGCGGCCGAACAGGCCATGAAGGGCTTTATAGTCCGGATGTGGCCTGGTGACTCTCTTCCCAACAGCTACTTTGGCCTGGTGAGGCGGCTTGTGGATGCCTGCCCATGGCTGGAGGTCGTCAAGCAATCTGTCTGCATTGAAGGTGCACGCCGAGCTTTCGCCCGTGTGAAATTGCAGTGGGTCAAGCTAGATGTCGTGAAGCTAATCAAGGAGGGGCCGCCAGAGGGCAAGGAGCACCGCCACCCCGAGATGTACTACGAGGGTGTTCTGCCGGGTGCCCGTCTCATCGCGACGAGTGTTCAAAAGATGTAATATTTGAGTAAACTTGCTCGTTTTATCCTGTATTTATGAAAACTTGTTTCATATGCGCTATGCAACGCTTGTTTGAATCTAAAATATTACCTTCTGTTTGGATGTTTATCCAATCTGAGAGATGGCTAGTCCTCGGCTTCTGCCCCCATGCCACGAGTGCTGGGGTGTTCGGGATAAACCTGAGCACTCTTGTCCCATATTTGGGTCCTTCGAGGGAGGTGCTCAGCACAACGAACAAGGCAACCGGACTAATAATGCTTTATCACTCTCACTTAGCCATAGAATTCTATAATTTTAAATTTCGGCGAAGCCCGTGGTATTCGGAAGGCCGAATTCGGGGCACGATACATGCCTGTAAGACGGACAGGGCCGGCCCCTCGCCCTGAGCGGCATAAGTCTTTAGGGACTCGAAAAAATTCGCCGAACAGCGACCAGTCTCTCGCCTTATCATGACAGTCAGTTTTAGCTTTCTCTACCGAGGTGCTAAGCCCGGCAGAACCGGGGCACAATCGCAGTAGTTCTCCTAGCACTACCTTGGCCGATAGAGCAGAACGTAAGGTACCAAAACATAGGAGCTGGGAAAACCCAACATTTGACCAAAGACATGATTCGGAGCTGATGCATATAATGCTATAAGTTCGGGGTGCCGCACTTGTGAAAGTGTTCGGACTTTTCACACCGCATTGTGGGGTACATAAGCCCCTGGTGTATTGGCCGTACCAGAGTGTACGGTTGCAAGGCATCATTAATGAACACACACACACACACACACACACATATATATAGAGTAGCATTATTCTGATCCCAGGATCAGAATAGTTATTTGGATCACAGCCCCCCTATATAGGCGCGATGAGTTGTTCCCGAGATTCCTTCACCGAAACCAGGAACTGCCCAAACATTGTGGCAAAAAAAAGAAACTACCCCCACCTCCCGCATCTTCATGAGTGAATTCCTTATTTGACACTACCTTAAAATGTGGTTCCCTATTTGGCCCTGAAGAAAATTTTCTTCCTTGTTTGACACATGCACTAATTTTTTTTCCCAATATGACACTCTAGTGCATTTTGTTCACTAACGGTGTTAAAGACAGATGTGAAAATACCTTTTTACCCCTGGTGCATAAAGTGAGCAAAAATCTGTACATTACAATATATACACTTATGTTACATATTTGGTCATGTTAAATGACCAATTGAGACCCCATAACTTGGACAATGATCTAATTTCAATCCAAAAAATTGTCCTCTCATTTTAATTCAAAAAATGAAAATTTGGCAAAACCTCCCCTGTAATTTGATCCCATATCTCACACAATTCACATATATATGTACATATATACACACAATATGCATCACAACATGAACAACAAACAGAAGCAGCCATGTTCACACATACATCACATTTATGTTCACATTCACCACATACATCAGTACTAGTTGGCATGCATCACATACTGTTTCACATATGAGGTCAGGTCCACAAGTACATCACATGAGCAGCACAAAAGGACATCCAAAAGTAACCATGACATTAAGGAAAACATGAGAATCACAAACTGAGCCGCCTTTTGCTTCTTGTGCTCATTGAAGGGCTTGCAGAGTTAAATTTTTTGCTTCTTGTGCACATTGCTGGGCTGTCTTGTGGCACCATAGGAATCTTTTCAGTGCACTCCTTACTCTTGCCCCTAACCTTCACAGGAACATTTGTTTCATCGCCGTGCGTAGGAAACTCAATGGAAATTGGCTCCAGATGTTTTGAGCCGGTTCTTGATCTGCACTTAGGCATGTAAGGCAGCAGTAGTTTTTAGCAATTGAAAACAAACAAATATTCATAACATGTCAACTAAAAAGAGAAACAATACCTCTTCGATCGAACCGATTCAGATTTCCCCCCTTTTCCCTTTTTGTTTGTATTCTTCAAGCTTTTGCTATGGTGAGAAGAAAGCAATAAGAATACAGAACAAATTTTAATTTAACTAAATCTCAAAATCTGAACTAGTTGTAATCACCTTTTTGATGCTCCAGCACTAGAGTTAGCATGTTTCCCCCTTTTTTTGGTTGTAGTTTCCAAGCTTTTGCTATTATGGTGAGCAGAAAGGTACTTACAATTCAAACATTGTTTTCATGTATTTATGAGCACAAGTGTAAAATTACGAACCTTGGGGGAAAACACATTCTTGTTGGTACTCCATCTTCGCAAGGCACAATGGATAACTCAGCTGTTTTGGTTGTCTTTGTCCTTTTCTTTGGTGGTTCTCTACACACAAGAGATAGGAAAGTATTGAACATGTATAGTTGGAAGAATAATGCAAAAATGAGTAAATCTATACTACTCCCTCCGTTCCAAATTACTCGTCACAAAAATGGATGTATCTAGAACTAAAATACATCTAGATACATCCATACCCGCGACAAGTAATTCGGAATGGAGGGAGTACCTCACAGCCATCATTGCAGCAATGTCCTCTGGATTTCCCTTCTTACATTTGTGCCAATGATGCCCATATTCCTTACAAATAGGGCATAAGTGTTGACCACTTTTCCTTTTCTTCTCACCGCAACCTTTGTACCTCTCAGTTTTACGCCTACCAGCCGTGGCCTTCAATAGTGGTGGATGCATGAAGAATCCATGGTCAGATTTAGGCCATTGGGTCTTGTCCGGCATAGCTGGAATTAGTTGGGCATAAGCTGCTCTATATTTGTCAATGGAGAAATACAAGTCCACATAGTGTCGTATGTGTGCATTGCTAAGTGACGTGATGAATGCAAGAGCATGTTTGCAAGGATGGCCAGAAACTTGCCATTGTCGACAAGAACATGTCCCCTCTTGCAAGTTGACCACAAACCTAAAGCCACTACCACCTAATGCAGTTACTTTAGCCACTTCTTCTGAGCTTTCTACCACCTCCAAGTTTAATTCCCTGGTCATTGCATTCAGCTTCTTAATTATGTGGGGCAGAATCAAACCATCTAACTCCTTTGCTACTTTTCTCCTTCGGTTCCACAATATCATAATCAATTGTCTCGCCTTATCAAAGAGGTCATCCAAGTTCAAGGACTTGTGGTGCTTAATCCAATTGTTAAAGCTCTCGGCCAGGTTGTTGGTTACGTAGTCTACCTTGCATATAGTTGAGAATTGACTCCTAGACCACAACCTATTGTGCCACTTCCTTATACATGCAGTTGCAGCTGGCTTTGTTGTCTCCATAGCAACCCAATGTTTGTCAAATAAATATGGGTTCCGTGAGTAAGCAGCAGCCCAAAGGTGGTCATCAAACACCTTCCCATGGAACTTCTTCTTGAAGTTGGTCACCAAGTGAAACATGCATTCCCTATGTTCCGCCTCTGGGAACACTTCTTTCACCCCTGTCATTACTGCTTGACCAGCATCGGTGCATATGCCAACCCATTTGGTGATCCTATGGCCTGTCTTAGCAATTGCATGAACCAAATCCAATTCTCGTTAGTTTCAGAATCAAAGACTCCAAAACTAACCGGATACATCCAATTATGGCCATCAACGGCGGTAGCACTAGCCAGCTGCCCCTTGAACCTGCCCGTCAAGAATGTGCTATCTATTGCCAAATATGGTCTGCAGCCACTAAGGAACCCCTCTATGCAAGGTTTCATAGCAACAAAAATTCTTCTAAACCTGATTTTACCATTTATTGTGTGATGATCAATTTGGACTATGATACCGGGGCAACAACTTTCAACTTGTGCCTTAAACCTATACAAATTGTCAAAGCTGATATCCCAATCACCATATAGTTGCTTCAAGGCTAGCAACTTACCCATATATACTCTCTTGTAGTTGATTTTGACCTTGTGGTGTTCTTTAAGCTTCTTTCGCAATTCCTTTGCTCCTAGAGTTGCATCTTCAATGAGCCAGTCCTTCACCTTCTCACATATCCAGTACTTAGTTGCATTCTTCACCTTCTTTTTCCTTCTTGCACTAGAGCAATCATGACCAAAAGGTTTTTTTTCACCTACAAAAGAAGAATATAATTAGTTAGCTAAAAACTCTCAAACAATCATGCAAGAAATGTTTACAAACGAGCAAAGTTAGAGAGTTACCACTACGATACACAAATCATCTGTTGTAGAAGCATGTATCCTCCATGGACAATTATCTTCATCTCTTCTTTTACAATAGCCCCTGAACCTACATGGTGCACTCTTCTCTATGTTATACTCAAATTCATGTTTGATAGCATGCTGAGAAAGGGCCAACTTAAACTCCTTCATATTGGGATATATGAAACCTTCAGTCATAGGAGGGTCATCCTTATCATACTCTATATTTGGGGCATGATTTACCTCATGCAACTCCTCATCCTCCTCTACTTCAGTCTCGTCCTCGCTCTCATCCTTACTCTCATCCTCACTCCCATCCTCACTCTCATCCTCACTCTCACCATTAGCAACATAGTCTTGGTCCTTTTCTTTATCAGGAAAAAGAACCATATTTAGAGCTTTAGGTTCTTCCTTCAAATACATATTCTCTTCATCAATCCCAACATGTTCATTCTCCGGTATTGGGTTGCGAAGATAACTATCATCATCTTGGTCTATGTTGTTCTTAGGTTGGATATGCACATCACTATAATACTCAATGATAGGCTCATATGGTTCAGAGGGTTCCCAATATACAATGAACATCTGCACCATCTTTGACTTAACATGTTTCTCAAACATATACATCAACTCTTGGTCTGATTTTATTTCTGGAAACGTTTTCAGAACTTCATCATAGTAGTGAACATGCGCAACTTCCAAATAACGTGGCTGGTACTGCACTATAATTGATTCAACCAAATCTTCATAATTTGTCAAGTCGGAATCAATAACCTTCTCGAAATAAAAGCACATGGGCTCTTTTCTAGCTTTTTTTGGGTTGCCAAGCAATCTAATTTTCAGTATATAACAAGAATTTGGATCCATCCTGTACATAAAAGAGAAACTTATGCATGAACATTGCTACCGGATATGGGTCAACCTGCTCCTCCTTCTAATCCTGCATTTGAAGAGAAATTGTGGAAGGAACTCACCCTTCTAAGTCTGCAGCCGCACCGTGGCCCAAGCCTGCATCCACGCCCAACCTTGCAGCATCGCCATGGCCTGCACCGCCCGCAACATCGCCATGGCCTGCGCCCGCAGCTGAGCTCATCGGGAAGTGCTGCATAGCCGCGCCATGGCCGCCAGCAGCGGACCTCACCGACGAGCCATCCCCAGCCCCGCCTTGGCCACCGTCCGCCGTGCCTGGGTCGCCGTCCGCCGCGGTGCTTGCTCCGGCGCCCGCAGTCGTGCTTGATCCTCCGCCCGCAGCCACCCCTTGAGCCATGGCCCCTCAGCTCACGCCGCCGCCGCCGCTGTACGAGCCTGCAACCCGCTGCCGCCGCCGCTAGGGTTGGGGGTGGGGAATCGAAGAAACAGAGAGACGAGAGGATGGCCAGATCGGGATCGGGCTTGTGGGCTAGCGACTCTGGTCAAAACTTTTTGTGGGCTAGCTACTAACACGGGGGTATTTTGGTCCATCCAAAAACAATTTAACGAAACGGTGTAACAAAGCGGACGGCGATGTCACGTAAGGAAGAAAATTTAGACTACATGTTAAATAGGGAAAAAACAGTTCTTCATGGTCAAATAAGGAACCACATTTTAAGGTAATGTCAAATAAGGAATTCTCTCCATCTTTATCCCCAAGCCCGATCCACCTCTATCGCCGCACCAGGCCACACACCCACCACACTCCATCGCCCCGTGCCGCCATCCACCTGGCCACCGCCGCCCCCGCGCCGCCATCCACCTGGCCGCCGCCGCCCCCGTGCCGCCATCCACCTGGCCGCCGCCGCCCCCACGTCGACGTCCAACCGCGCTGCCGCTGGAGTCCGGACCACCAACTACGCCGCCGCCGGAGTCCCGACCTTCAAGCGCGCCGCCGCCGAGCCCAGACCACCAATGGCGGCGCCGCCGGAGACCCAACCTCCAACCTCAACGCCACCAGGCCCCGATAACAAAAGCGTGCCATCACCACCCCCACGACCCGCGTCGCCGGCGCCCCTCCTCCGCGGCCGGCGCTCTCCCAACCCGTGGTCGACACCCATCCTCTTTTGCGGCCAGCGCCCTCCCTCCCCGCGGCCGGCGCGCTCCTTCCCCGCGGCTGACGGGCCTCCAGCTCTGTGGCCGGCGCAGTCCCTCCTCGCTGCAGCTTGCCCCTCCTCCATGGATGGCCTGCACCGGCTGCCGGAACTTGTTGAGGTGGTACCCTTAACCCTCGACCTTCAATTACAGGTCACCAACGACGCTACAAAGAGAAAGGTCAGCATCTGGCCCTCTTTCAGTTTGTTGATTCTCTGAAGTTTTTAAAGTTGATTATAACCGTGTATATTTTGCAGGGCCCTGCGAAGTTCAGTTTTTTTATTTTCTGAAGTTTAGTTTGTTGATTTTCTGAAGAAATAGGTTCCTTCACTTGCACTCCTCTAACTAGTCCTGTGTGGTGATCTCCTCGACTCCTAGGTTCGGCACAAACTGAGAATTGTAAGCATCTTCTGAGTTTACAATGCTTGAAATTGCAGTACGTGATTATATAACATTTTAGGTGGAATTGGTCAATGTTGTTCCCTGTAGTTGTATAGTGTCCAGATCAATCGTCGATTCCTATTCTCTAAGTGATTTTGATGTCTGAAGTTCAACTGTATATGCAGGAGCAAAAAACTGTTGTTTTTGGTTCATTAGTTTCAGTTTCACAGGTTGGTTTTCTTCTCATTTTATCTCCAAAAATTAATCAACGAGGATCGACGGCAGTCCAGGATCTGCGAAGACGAGGGATGCTGTTTTTGGTTTGCTTTTGTGAATCAGCATCACCGCATTACACACCACACCGCCCACCAGCAGTACGTGTCTCTCACCATCGTCCTTCTCTCTTTCTCCTTTCTCTCTCACTCTCTCACGCAGGACACGGCGCTGCCATGGCGGCCCCGAGGACGATGAGAGCCATGCAGTATGACAAGTACGGCGATGGAGCTGAAGGCCTCAAGGTACATGCTCGTCGCCATAACGAGCTGTCTCCAAACAGACTTGACATGCGTCGTGTAAGGTTCAATGACCGAAAGGTGAGGTTCAGACGCTGCCGCAATCCGTGCGACGTATGGCTCGGAGAACTTCTTGCATTCCTACTAGAGTGAAACCGTTGGTGCTCAGGATCAGACTTCGGTGGTTCAACCATGCATACAACGAGATGAAAAGGTTGCTATGATATTACTATATGCATCAGCGTCACCTGCCAGAAGTGATCTGCAAACTCTTGAGACTTGGCCACACATGGCTGGATGGCATCCTTGCAAGCTCTGTAGGCTGTGACGATCCTGGCAGCTACCGGCTTAGTGCTGTTCTTCAGTGAGTTGAAATGAAATTTGGCAACAGGCAACAATTTCTTCATGAAGCAAGAGATGGCGTGTCAGAGTGTTTCACAAAAAGGCGAGGACGAGTGTTGGTTGAGAACATTAGCCTACATTTTTTGTTGCCTGCAAGTGTGGTTTCACCTGTCTTTGTGCATGTGGCAAAGTCTCAGCAACCTGTGCCCTTGACTTTGTAAGACAGTGGTGGTTGCATTTATAAATACTAGCAAGGAACACTTGATATTTAACTAAGAATTCATATGAAACAAACCTTCTCCATTAGAGCATCAAGTACATGTTTCCCATGGAGATGCCATTTGGCAGATGCTAGTTCCTGCAAATGCACCAAAGAAACCTAAATCGAAGTCTCGAAAGCTGCATAAAGTTCCATACCACATGATGAATCCACATATACCTGACAATGTACAGAGCGCGATGCGAACCAATACGGAAGCCACATGCCATGAACCTGAAAATGAGCCGTCATGTGTTAAGTTCTCTGCATATCACTGACTTCTAAGCAAAAATATTGTACTTCTAGTTACGCATACATTTGCCAACTCCTGAACCTTCAATTTTGCTTGTCTTTGCACCCCAGACAGTTTATCCTGAACATGAAGCATTTTTTAGTTGTAAAACACTCAGTTTTTTCTCGTTGATACAGAATAAAATCAGGAAGTTCAATTTTAGAAAGGGAAGTAGTTCGAAAATTATTACAATACTCAGATTATTCCCATACAAAAGAACAAAACAAAAAGTCCAATGGTATATCACTTGCCCCGTTCCGATAAATCATGCAAATATATAACAGAGCATTTTATTTTCACATTTTCGAAAAACAACGAGAAGTCCAAATTAAAAAAATAAGAAGTTCAAATTTAAAAACTCGGATTTTACTTTCTACTAAACAAATAAAATCAAGAAGTTTAAACAAAATAACGAAGTACTTCGATGTATATGGAAAACTCAAATTATTTCCTATTATAGAAAACAAAATTATGAAGTTCATTTAAAAAAATATTTGATGCTTATTTAAAAACATATTTTTTTCTAAAAAAGGTTGAGAAGTTCAAATTAAAATAACAGAGAAGACCGAATTATGTAAAAAATTAAAAAAATTCTCGTTAATAAAAATAAAAAGAAGAAGTTCAAATTAAAAAAGGAACAACTAAAAAAGTTTTAAAAGATTTCCCCCCGCCATAGAAAAAACTAGAAGTTCAAACTAAAACAACGAAGTGCTCAATGTTTATTTAAAAATATAGGATTTTACCTTTTTATAAAACTCACATATATTCGTTGTTATTAAAGAATCAGCCATGAAGTTCAAAACTAAAACAGTGAAGTTCGTTGTTTGTTTGAAAAATCACAAAGAAATCTTTACTCAAAAAATGCAAGCTGTGAAGTTTAGATAAAAAATAACACACAAGTTCAAAGTGAAAACAACCAGCGATTCAACTACTACATTGAGTGTTTTTCATATACGAAAAAGGAATAAAAAGGCAAAGTTAAAAAGACATTTGCTAAAAGTTTACGTGGTGGGCAAGGAAGTTCAAAACCTCTTATGAAGGAGGTCCGTGTATTTACTTGTGCAAAAACACACACACACACACAAAATATGTTAGTTTTTATGTTTTAACAAAATCCTCTTTATCCATTACAAATTGGAAAACAAAAATTCTCTACATGAAAAAAGTTTCTCCTATTCAACAACTTTCCGAGGGTATATTATATACTATGTTCCAAAAATAAATGGTAAAAACAAATTGGCATATGTTGTTCGGAAAGAAAAGTTTACCCGTATTGGAAAAAGTTGCGTCTTTTCAACAAGTTTCTAATGATTTACCATTTGTGGAACTCTGAGGAACGGGTGAGGGATAACATACAAAAAATATGTGGCCAAAGTTCAATATGAAAACAACGAGAAGTTCAACTACTATGCAGAATGCGTTTCGAAATAGGAGTGGGCAATTACAAACAGAAAAAGGGGACAGAAGTTCAAGGTGAAAACAACGAGCAGTTCAATTACTACACGGCATGCGTTTCAGCAGAGAATAAAAGAATACTAAACTAAAAGCCTAAAAGGTTTGTTGCAAGAAGTTCACGTGCTCCTCCCGGTGAAGTTCAAGATCTCTATTGCGAGACGTCCAACCTTCAAATACATGTTAAAACCAAAGGAAAAATGATGTTGTTTTTGCCATTTTTAATACTGCTCTCAAACGGCAACGAACTTGTGACGGTTGTCTTGATGAAAAATTTATTTGCTCGAAGTTCAAGTGACCTGCCCGGGAAAATTCAAAAAGGATTTTCCCCATCACTAACAAATAAAACTAAGAAGTTTAAATTTAAAAAATGGTGAAGTTTGATGTCTATAAAAATGCAGATTTTCTCATAATTTTGTCGTTAATAATGAAAAAACTAAGAAGTTCAGTTCGAAAATATCCAAGAATTTGTACAATGTTTATTGCAAAATTAGGATTTTTTCCGTTACAAATGAATAACACCAAGAAGTCCGAATTGAGAAAAACCAAGAAGTTCAATTTTAAAAAATACAAT